CCTTCCAGCCAGAGCCGCAGGTAGGCCGCATAGACAGAGAGGCAGATAACATGTAGGTCCACTTAGGCTTAGTGTCCACCCCACATGGAATCTAGGAGAAGCTCTCCTGGCGATGCTCAGGGATGCTGAGAAGGCCTGGTCTTCCCTACTGCGGATCGGCCCATGGCCTGAAACCGCCCTGAAGGCAAAGGGATGCCTCCTTGGCTCTCGCTCAGACTCATTCCGCCATGGCAAAATGACAAAATGCCTGTTCCCAGAGAACGTTCCAGCACCCGAGAATCAAGTTGCCTGTAACTGCTGCCCACTCTTCTTTGCACTGCTCCTCCATGGTTTACCCTGGAGGAGTTGTTTCTGATTTGTCACCCAGACTCTGTTGGCCTTTGGAGACCCCCCTGAGGGCATTTAAGTCCCCGATAACATCATCCAGGAACTAAAACCCCTCCAGCATGTTGGGGTCAGTCCTAGGAGGGGCCCTGCATGAAGGTTGTCTTTATTTTCTTTATTTTCATTTGTCAGAAAGCAGTTTTTTCCAGAATCTCACCCTAGAAGACATTTAGCAGAGCTTATCTGTTAAGAAGATATATTAATTGCAAACATACCATTATATTTTCCATTTGGTCTAAAAGAATTAAAGAGTTTTTCTTCTCCTGCTTTTCATTAATCACTGCTTACTTCACACAAGACTGACACAAAGTTACACCTTTAGTCAAAACCTCTCATATTGAGAGAAACTATGAAAAGAAGAGAGAAAAAACCACATGGACAAAGCCCATCCACTTAGGACCCTCCCACTGGATGGCCACCCCTGTTAATGAGGGATGGGTCGACAGTGGAGCACAGACAGAGAGACACAGTGTTACACAGCAAGCAGAGCTCTGATCAGCAGAGCAACCAACCCTTTCCCTCCATCCTGTCATCATGAGGTTTGAAGAGATCTTGGATGATATTGGTGGATTTTCCAAATTTCAGTTTTTGCTGTTGTCCATCCTGTGTCTGCCCCGTGCCATCCTCCCCCTCCATTTTCTCCTGCACAACTTCATCTCTGCTACCCCTCCTCATCACTGCTCCCTCGGGATCCTGACGAAGAGGAATGAAAGTTTGTGGTCCTCTGACCCTGAGACTGTGGCCTTTTTTATCCCTTACCAGGATGATGGCTCTTTCAGCTCCTGCAGGGTCTACAGTACCCCACAAACCAGCAACTCCAGTCAAGAGAACAGGACTGTAGTGTGTCCAAATGGATGGACCTATGACAAGTCTCAGTTTAGCTCCACTACTGCCTCTGAGGTAAAATAAGGACTCAAATACTCTTAACACAAACCTCCTGTCTTGCAATGAGAGATAAGTTTGTTTAAATGTTTTAATGGTAGCAGTGGATGCTGTTAATCAATATATATTCAATCTTTAGAAAGTCCTACAGAGTTGTTTTTGCCCCACTGCAAAGGAAAAGAACTGACCCCTGCTAAAATAATCCAGTTAGTTGATCATTTACATTGAATTATCTCATGAATCAGACAGAGCTAAGGCTAGATTATTGGACATTGCTGTCCTTTAGGGATTTTCATTTCAGTTGTTTCTCAGTTTCTTCAATTTTCCTCTTTCATTTCTGCCACATGGTTGTACTCTATAGCAGCGGTCCCCAACCACCGGGCCGCGGACCGGTACCGGTCCGTCGGTCATTTGGTACCGGGCCGCACAGAAAAAATATATGTATATATAATTTATCGACGATCAGAGTCTAAGTGATGTTTTATTTTGAAAAATATAAAAAATTGCAGTATTCTCTCCCGATTACATCAGTCGGTGCATCTGTGCCTCTTGACACAGGTTAATTCAGTTTAAGAGACATCTTATTTATAACATCCTATCTTTATGAAGCGGGATTTTCTGCGGTTACAGTGACCAAAACAAAGCTATGGAGCAGACTGGACATCAGGAGTACACTTCGTGTGTCATTGTCTCCCATTATGCATAGATGGGACCGGCTTGTTTCAGAGAAACAAGCTCAGGGCTCCTAATAATTCAACTTGATGGTGAGCTTTATATATGCTCTTTGTTTTTGATTTTATGCCAGTCGTATGATTTTATTCGATTGTATTTAACCCCTACTTTTTAAAGTCCGGTCCGTGAAAATATTGTCTAACATATAGCCGGCGAAAAAAAGGTTGGGGACCGCTGCTCTATAGGTCTTGGTGGCTGGATGTGATTGAATGCCTTTTAAGTTCATTCATGCGTTATTACTGTTGTTGTCTACTGTCTTAGACTATCCTCAGTAGTATTGCTTAGATCCCCCAATGTTAATGTTGTTTAAGTCTTTCACTGTAAGTCAGGAACCAGGTTGAAATCACAGTAGCACCAGGAAGGGCATCCAGTGAAAAGCTCTGCCAAGTCAGTGAGGACGTTGCATTGACTCCTTGTGGTGACCCATGCAGCTGAAAGGACTGCTTAATGTGATGGCTGGTCCTTTTGCCACCTTCTTTTTTTCACAAAATGTTTTATTGTCACTACACTGTCACCATTAGAGAACAAAGAAACTCACTCTCTGCATTAAACCCATCCCCTTGGTGGGAAGTGGGCTGCCATTGTGCAGCATGCAGGGAGCAGTGTGGGTTTAAGGGTCTTTGTCTGGGGTTAAGGGACCCAGAGTGGAGGCTGTGGGAGTGGAGCTTGAATTCAGAACCTCTGGATTCCAAGCGCAAACATCTAGGAGTTCTCCATCTTTGGCTCCCTCTTCCTCTGATAATGACCAGGCAGCCAGATCCCCA